AATTATTAGATTGTCATCAATCTTTAATAAGTGTGCAAAGTTTCAAATTAATCTTATGTTCTAAAGGGGGTGAAAATCACGTTCAAAGATTTCGTTACATAGATACATACATACTAAGCCAATAAATGCGTGTTAACAAAATGGTACACACTGATATACTCCTAATGTTTAGTGTATACTTTATTCCCAGTATTTTTATTACATTTTTAGTCTTTAAAAATTTATAAATTCTACTATTATTCTAATAGTACATCACAATATATTCCACAAATAGGTCCTGACCTAGATGTCAAAATAAATATTGGGTTTAACAAAATTGATCAATAAATTGCCTTCCGCGTTAGATCATTTCCGATTTTATGACCTTACCGTTTCCGTCCCCATCCCCGGCCCTTTTATGAAGTGGGGGCGTGGAGCGTAACACATAGGGCAATACGTTATTCCAAGTGTTCCCAAAAGGGTGAAAAGACCAAGGTTTAAAGTCGTGCATGAATGCGGGACCATGAATAAATTCTCCATCAATTTGTGAAATTACACACAACCCAAGTCATGCATAGGTAATGATAATTGCTTCCCTATGATTAAATTATGACGGGTCAATATGCCTTTAAAACGTGTAATTTTGTAGTAACACTATTTTAATATACTGAATAAGCATTTTTAAATATTGGTTTTAAATTGGTTTGAGTTTTAAATTGAAAAATTATTGAACGGTTCATAATATTAATTATTTCCTGAATATGTACTATAAATAAAATAACAGTTTATTTTTGAGGCAGAAATTATGAAATTGTGAAATACTGAAATAATGCTTTTTCTACGATTGCAAAATAACTACCTAGGTAATAAATACAGGGTCCGACAAAATGATCTCCAACATTTTAAACTTTAATAAAATTGTCATTTCAAATGCTATTTATAATTGTATTTTGTAAAATGTATACTAATCCCATATTTTTTTTCATCAAGAGTTGAAAATTACAGAGTCCAAGTAGAAACTATTTTTTTTAATACATATTCGAAGCCAATCTCTGAGTTTCTACAATGTCTTGGCGTGTTGGGTTCGGGGACGGTATAACAGGAATTTTTGCCTTAATCACCATTAGGTATCCACGGGTTCCCTCCAAAATTCTGGTAGTATGATTTGGAAAAGAAAACCGTTACGAAAAAAGGTTATAGTGTTCTCCTAGAATCTATAGGAGAAGACCATTTCGGCTGGCTGTCGGGACAAAAAGTGTGGGTCATTAAGCAGTTAGTAGTACTTAAGAGTTAGTATTGTGTCATTTACTGCTTTTGTATGTAACGATACTATAAATTCCAGTATTTAGAAAGAATAAAAGGTAGGCACACATTTACCTAGAGCGCTTTTAAAACTAACATAGTAGACATTACTAAGCCCCAAACGTTACATTTCAAATGATATATGAAGCCCACTAGTCACTTACGACGCCCGATTTCGGGCTTCCTAAAAACACAGTGTATAAATTCGTTTTAGAGGCAACTCCATCTGTATCGTTTAAGCAAAAACGGGTGGGCTTCAAAATGTCGGAAAATACCTCCAAATACACGCCTGTAGTTCAGTTGTTTCAGCGGCAGAGGGCACAAGAGTCAAACGCGATTATACACAGATCAAGTTAAACAAACCACCATTACGAAGCCCATCACATCCGGCAACACTGTAATCTCGGAAATAATTAATTATTTACCCATTTAAGATTTATTTTAACGTTTAACACATTCGCTGCGGGCGCGTCATCAGATATGCGTGTTACGGTGCGTCGATTTTTTCACTTAAGTGAAATTTATATTATTTTAAATTTTTAGATAAATTTATTTAGCTGTGAGAAGAAGGTTTTCATGAAAGTACTTGAAATATTTATTATAGTGAAGCGTATAATACTTCATTTCATTAGGATCACTAAAAATCTAAATAACAAGTATTAAAAGTAATTTTAAAAAACCGACATTAAAATCGTGCAGATGCCATCATCACATCTTCACCAAATTTATATGGGACCACCCCTGAGGTATCCCGTTTCTAACAAAAAAATATTCATTATAATTGGACAACGTGTGAAAGAATTATCGCTGAACATACATATAAAAAAATATTCCGACGAATTGAGAACCTCCTCCTTTTTTGAAGTCGATTAAAAATATATCTGATGAGAGTTCTATAAAAATTTATATTATTGGAAGGTGGGTTGTCCTACAGCACTTAGGCCTCGTTAGACCTATTGTGCATCCTCCTGAATTAAAAGGCCCTTCTTAGTTCGTCAGCGAGCCTACAAATTTAATGTAGTTGACAACGTCGCCGAGAAGTGTTTATATCGGCCGGTGTAAGCCAATGCTCGTTGAACACAAATCTTATGATAATTGAGAGCCTTGGGCAAGGGAAGAGGGTTCTCTCATCTTCTTGTTCGCATCTACTGCAGAGTGCTGATTCTGACAGTCCCATGCTATGGATGTGCTTCTGTGGTTGGCAAATCTGTGGTCAGGCACATATTCTGTCTAGTCATAGTCAAGTAATTGTTTGCTGTTATGTTGTTGGAATAACTTTAAAGCACCTTGATTACTCTGCAGCTTCTTTTTGTTTTCTAGTTTTTCTTGTGTTTCACAAGGGAATGTTATTTAAGCAGGTTTGCCACTACCGATGAATAAGTCCAATTAAAGTGCCAGGTCCAAAAAGTATTTGGTTGCCTGCCTTCTTGCCTAGTAAATTAGCAAAACGGTCACGTTTTGATGTGGTTACCACTAATCCATCTTAAATTGATCACATTATTGATAGATGATACCTCGGCCTAAGCTACGTGACATTCTAGTACTAACCCTGAGTAAATTATTAATGGTCTGTCCAGCGTGAGTAGTTCTTATCTGCTATGTTTGATACTGTTTATTTTAACTTCTTTTGATGCTATGAGTATCCCGTGAGCTCTATTTAAACTGCACTGAGTACATTTTATATTTAGGTTTAACGATGGGTACTGTCACATCCTAAGCCTATTTTTCTTTTTGAATCGTTGGTGTAGATATGAATTTTACCCTTATAACTTTATATGGCTTATGGAAGATATATCTCGCTGAAATGTGGTTCATGTTCGTTTGAACAAATGGAAGCGTATCGAGTGCCTCCCGTCAAAAGCGACTTCTCGCCAGATCCTACATTAGGTTCTATTCCAATCGTGCGAAGTCATGTCATTGTCATCAAAGCAACCTGTTTGATTAAAATATCAAGAGGAGTAAGATTGAGAATGACTTCTACGGCTCCGGTTGATAGGTACATACAATCGATTATTCGAGGAATAGCACAAATATAGTATACAGGGTAATTCCAAAGTTAATAACTTTTTTTTTAAACAATTTTGCAAAATCACAAGGATTTAGGTCTGGTAACCATGCAACTGGCCCATTTCAACGGATGCACTTATTCTGAAAAGTAATGTTTAAAAACTATCGTACTTTTCAACTAATGATAGACCCAGATTTATATATTTTAATACGCAACTTTCTTTGTTTCGTGGGCACCGAGCTAAATCATTGAATTTTTCGTTTATTTTTTTCTTATATTTATTTTTGACTTTTTTTTTGAAAATGTTATTTATTTGAAAATGAAATTTACTTGAATAGTTATGTGACTAAAAAAGTTATTATTTATTAATTTGAAAACTTTATTAATTTGAAAAAGTTATTTATTTCAAAAAGTTAAGTTAAGCCTGAAACGGCGCTTGGCCGGAATTGGCACATCAAACTGCCGTCTAGGAATCTTGACAGTAAATGTCGTGATGGTATAGAGTTAGGGCATTTGTGTACAGAACAAAGATATCTGGGTTCAAAACGCAGCGACTACAGGCTTTTTTTTAAATCTCCATGTATTTGTTTTTACCTTTGTGGTTCAGGGATGGCCTTAATAATTCGTAGGGGGATTTTTGAGATATTTTACGAATTTTTAAATTATTTCTATAAATAATTTCAGATAATTCTGACCTTTCGGATTTCTATTTGCAATTTACGATGTATTCAATTCACAATTTACGTACTTAGGTCTACGTCGCTTAACGTACATTGAAAACTTAACTCACGCAGACGAATATATGAGCTTAGTATGCATCAATGCATTTCTCATACACACCGATATTGTATAGAGGTATTTAAAGATTTGAGAACGATCCTGAAAAGGCGCTTGGCCCAAATTAACACATCAAACTGCTGTCTTTGTGTACATAACAAAGACGTATGGGTTCGAGTCTCAGCGATGAAAGGCTTTTTTCAAATCTCCAAGTATTTGTTTTTACCTTTGGGGTTTGGAGATGGTTTTAATAATTCGTAGGGGGATTTTTGAGATTTGTTTCAGAATTTTCAAATTATTTCTAGTTAAGTTATTTATTTGAAAAATTTATTTATTTGAAAAATTTATTTATTTGAAAAGTTAGTTATTTATATGAAAGTTAGTAATTTGTATGAAAGTAAGTTATTTATTAGAAAGTTATTTATTTAAAAAAGTAAGTAATTTATTTGAAAAGTTATTTATTTGAAATATTTATTTAAGCAATTTATTAATTTGAAAAATTTATTAATTTGAAAAATTTATTAATTTGAAAAATTTATTAATTTGAAAAAGGTATTTATTTCAAAAAGTTAAGTTTTTCATCCAAATACAAGTACCTTCACATTTTAAATTTGTTCTGCAGTAAAAGCTAATTAATTTAAAATTTTAAATTTTTATTAAATTTAGGTAATCGTCTTTAATACCAATTTTATTTATACATAAAATATTCTTTAAGAAGATCAATGCCATTTTCAATAAAATTGATTTTGTCATTATTATTGGTATTAATATTTAGCAAGAGTAGTTGTGGATTAAAAATTAAGTGTTGTTGGGATTGTTTCTCTAGCGTCGAAATAAAAAACGACTAATACATGCCCTATAGGGCCAGAGATTAGCATCCATGGATTTTTTAAAGTTTGAGGCCCAAATTTTTACCTTGAATGAACTATAGACATTAGGATGTTTTGAATTTATTTATTTGTTTGCACTTTATTTCTGGAAATTGTTTTTTTATCAAATCACATAAAGCAGCTGCTATGGTATGTGGATTTAGGTGATATACGTATAGTGTAGCTGTACCTTCAACTGCTTCTACTTTATTTTGTTCGCGATTGCTCCCTACTACAATTTGTGTTCTATCACGATTTTTATTAACAACTGTTTTCCAGTTATTTTCAGTGTTCGTATCACTAGTGATTTCGTCATTCATATTTATTTGATATTTTAATATTATTTCACCCTGAGCAAAATAAAATCCCGCAGAGACCTGCGTAATGTGTATTTGTTTATTATTGTTTTCAAACGGCTCGTGGGTATTCCTTTCTTGGCGACTAATCTTGTTTTCTATTTCTTCTGGAGGTTCCCCAGTGTTTATATCTAATACTGGTTTCGAAGGTTGTATATTTAGTAAAGAACTAATTATAATTTCGGTATTCTTACTGATTGTATTAGTCGGTGTTTCACCCTGGATAGCATTATCTTTATTATTAAATTTGTTTAATAAATTTATGTGTTTATTTAGCAGTTTAATTTTATCTCGTAGCTCTTCAATAATAATATCTTTCTGATTTAATATATATCTAATTATATTTACGTCCATTTTTTCATTATCCATAGATTCGCTGAATTTAGCTTCATCATCCTCATCCTCTTTTTCATCCTGTTCACTTGAAAAACAACAATTTATTATGTTGTCACCAACTATTTTAACGTTTTTCTTTTTAGTACAACTCGGGTGGTACACGGAATCACATTTCAATATATTCTTTTATAATTGAATGCTTGCATTTATTACAAATCTTTGTGGATACATTTAACTGTGCGTTCTCACTGCCCGCCACGACTATTTAGGTTTATTGTTTTTCTAATGTATTAAAGTAAGTGTTAAATGTTACCAATATAAATATAAACATAAATAATTGTAATATTGCCTAAAGGCAATTACATGCATTACATGCATCGATAAAAATAGTTTAATGGACATAATTCTATCTCGGAACTGAGGTAACTGAGATAATTTGAATTTAATCTTATGTCTCTAGGTAATTGGAGACTTATGCCAAGTGACATGCTCTGCATATCTGCGCTCTACTGAAAATTAATATTCAAATGAAGCGTTTAATTATACGTCACCTTAATAAGATTAGAATGTAATTCCCCGTCGTACGTAGTTATGATATCCCTTGAGTACGGCCGGACATGGGTTATATCTATATAATATAATGAAGCAATAGCAAATTGATTCAATTTGCTTTAATTTTTATAAGGCAACATAGGATAATGTGGTATATTTTTAAAAATTAATGTCATAAATATGTAATGGTCTTTTAGAGAGGAAATAAATAATTTAAAAGGGACATTTTTTGTTAATTTGTCTATAATTATATCACTGAGAACCAATTATTTATAAAGAGGGAGCCACATAAAAAATAAAATAAAACATTTTGTCAAAGATACATAACTATTGATAAATTTAAAAACAAATAACATATTATAGGTCATTTATTGGGCATTTATGTAACGTTATCACTAACAATAATAAAAAGACTAGGGGTGGCGCCGCCAACAAAATAAAATGAAAAAAAAAAAATACCGAGATTGTTGTTTTTATTTTAGTTCTGTAATATTATAGAAAAATATTCTCAAACACAATAATAAAAATTTAAAGAGTAATCGTTTAAAATTTTAAGTTTAAGAACTTATGGAAAATGAATTTACTGTGGATTAAAATTGATTAGAATTAAGCTAAGAAAGATAAAAAAAACTAACCAAATTTAAAAATCATTCTTAGTTAGAAAAGTTGTAAATCAATATAATTTTCAGTTAAAACATTAAACATTTGTCTTTGTCATTTAGCCACGAATAAAACGAAATGTAAAAATACTCTTATCGTTTTCACCTAGTTTTTACACTGAGAGAATTATATTTAAAAAGTGTTTTGTTGAGAAATTTCTTGCTACCACAAATAAATTTTTAGTTGCAATTAAAAAAATACATTCTTGCAACTAAATAAAATGCTTTTTTAAAGTAGTTTTGTCGCCATACAAAAAAAAATTGTTACCATTGCAAATATTTTTTTTCAGTCTATAGAACCAGCAAAAATAATTTTTGCTCTTAAAAATAGTTTTTAATTACTAAACATTTATTTTCTGTAGTAGAAATTCAAAATATTAATAGGTATATTTTTCATCATAACAATTCGCTTTTTAAGTCCAATAAAAAATATCTTTAGAAAATAACGATCGGTTTCGATCGAGAGCTTCTTCGTCTATACTCGAGAAAATTTTCCTGTATTCGGCATACCCCGTTCAGTCCGTTCCCGCCAGTTCCCGGTATATATCGCAATAAAAGGTCTATAGTATACCGGCAAGTACTGACAAGAACAAGCCGGCGATTTGTGATTTTAGTTTTAGTTATAATTATCCTAGCCGCTAGCAAAGGTCACCTACGGTTACGTTGGCAGATAGGCAAATCGTAGGTCTGACGCCAGTTTTGCATTTTTATTGGGCACACATTGTGTTTGTTTCCAATTGATTACACAGAGAAGTTAAATAATTGGGGATTACAAGATTTTGTTGAGAATTTTAAGGGTAAGTACATAACGTATAATATAAAAGTATTTTATATCTACTAATTTATCGGTTTCAAATGTATTGACCCCTCACTTTAACGTTAATTAAGGAAAAAACAGTAGATAAAGCGAAAAATCTTGCAAAGTTTTTTCATTAAGATATCAGAAATTCCTTTTTCTATTTTGATGGAACTTGGAGGCTATTTTGAGTACTGAGGGTTAAATTTATTTGTTCCAGTGACGTTAACAGATATTTCTAACAAAACACCTAATTTTTAACCAATAAAAACTACTTTTAATTAATAAAAACTATTTTTTAACCACTAAAAGCCTAATTTTTAACCAGTAAAATCTATTTTTAAGAGATAAAAATAATTCTTTAACAATTAAAACTGCCTGTTCAAGGTAACAAAATACTTTTTAACTGCAAGAAAAATATTGTTTAATCACTAAAAACCTACTTTTGAACCATAAAAAACTACTTTTTAGTGAGTAAAATTTTACTTTCTAACCACTGAAATTAATAAAAACTAAAAAGTACATGTTTAGGGACTAAAAAGTAAGTTTTTTTAATGAATTTTGACAGTTTTATAAAGGTTTCGGGAGACTGATTCATTTTTTGTTGCATTTAACAATATAACCTTAGCTTTTACAGACCCTAAAAACCTAAATTTAAACATTTCTCAAAAATACCTGACATTAATTTTTATCTAATTTCTTAACTTACTGAGCTAGGGGAGGGGGTTTCTAGGATCCACGACTGGTGCTTAAGTTTATTAAAATTCGAAATTTGCGTTTCTGAGATAGTATAAATAAAATATAATTTTTTTTTTTAGATATTAAGGAAGGATCGTTTGGAATGGCCCACCTGGTAGATAGAAGAATGTTATGTTTTTATGTTCCTACCTATTTTAGTTAATAATCCTAATGGAATGGATTTTCTTATTCTATTCTATATTATAATAAACAGAAAACAATATATTTAGAATAAAATTTCTTTTAGGATTTTTCACAAAGAATAAATACCGGATTAATTTAAAGCTACTAACTGTTCATTTGAAATTTCTTGATACTATATGCCTTACGTTATTATACGTCTAAAGACAAATAAGTTTAAATTATCAAATAATAATTTTATATTACATAACCTACTGAATTTTTAAAATTCAAATACATTTCTGAAATATTTATTTAACAATATAACTAATATATTTATTACAAAATAATGGTCTCTTTTATTTTTGAAACCCTTCCTTTCCTATGTTGATCTGTATTTTCACCACAGGTAAAATAAACATTTATGTAAATTATATAGGTAGGTATATATTAGGTAAATTTGCTTTAATAAGTATATATAGTTTCTAATGCACGGCTAAAAAGTTAATTTTTCTATTTTTACAGAACTGGTTTCATTATGAAGAAATATAAAGTTCAGTTATCCTCGGTAAATCTGGAAATTTGACATTTAATACATGCAAAACATTCTTGTATTTCGACTTTAACTGAACTTTATTTTTTTATAGAAAAAACGGCCTAAGTGCTGAAGAAACCAGCCCTAAATAGCAAAATTTACTTTTAACCATCAACAAATACTTTTTAAAGGTAAAAATTAACTGTATAATCATTAAAATCTACTTTTTAAAGGTAAAAGGTTAATTTTAAACCACTACACACTACTTTTTAACCACTAAAAACATTTTTTTAAAGGTAAAAATTAATTTTTTATTAATTAAAACTACCTTTTTAAGGTAAAAAAAAAAATTTTTATTGCAAAGAAAGTAATTTCTTAATCAGTACCTAATTTTTAACCATTAAAAACTACTTTTAATTAATAAAAACTATTTTTTAACCACTAAAAGCCTAATTTTTAACCAGTAAAATCTATTTTTAAGAGATAAAAATAATTCTTTAACAATTGAAACTGCCTGTTCAAGGTAACAAAATACTTTTTAACTGCAAGAAAAATACTGTTTAACCACTAAAATCCTACTTTTTAACCATAAGAAACTACTTTTTAGTGAGTAAAATTTTACTTTCTAACCACTAAAATTAATAAAAACTAAAAAGTAAGTTTTTAGGGACTAAAAAGTAATTCCAAAAAAGTGAATTTATTAACCGTAGCAAAGTACTTTGGCTGTCGCCTATTTTAATAGAGTTTTTTTTAAGGGTTAATACATTTTTTGCTACCATAGCAAAAAATTTCCCTCGGTGTATTTTTTAATTTTTAACCAAACCATAAATTAATGACGCCCCTTATTGAAAGTTTTCATGACCCACAAATCCTGCTCCCAGACTGCAGAGCTGCCGTGTTCTAGTTACTTTGCTTGGCTTCACACTTAACATCTCAAAAAGGGAAAGTTTTCATTTTCACAAAAAGATGTAAAATACAATCAATGTAAAAGCAAGTATGACATATTAATAAATTATTACGAGACTATTATTTATGACCTAGAGTGTCCTAGAGCAAGACAACTGACAGCAGATCCCGGCCAAGCAGCAACTACAAGGTGTACTAAACCACAGGTAATCAATCAACTTTAAAAAGTGCGCAGAGAACAGCAGAAAATATCACTTCTTTTCAGTTATAATTGTCCACAGACTGCCTGGTTAAATGCATAAACTCTACTACATGGAGGAAGGATTATTAACAGTTGCCGTGTCTTTGTAGAAATTTGGCAACAAGTTTGCTTGCAGCGACCTGTGGGAGCGGGTGGTTCAACTAATCTTACTCTGTCAGTAATATAGTTACGTGCAATATTAATTATTCAATCATTACTCTGTTGGTAATGCAGTTGCCCGTAATACCATATTTAATTTGAAAATTGGCGGGCTTATTTTACTTCCACTAAGAGGAGCATTTATTTTAACAATTACTATTTTCTTTTTTGAAGGACTTAACTTACACAATTGTTATTCATCCCAAAAGCATTATCAAAAATTTAAATAAAGAAAATTTTAAATTTAAAAATAGTCACACTTTCACAGACCACTCCTCGACGAACAAAATTTTTGACAGAAATATTTTATTACGTCAATTGCCAGAGGGATGTAGAGAATTGGTGTAACAAATTTGATATATGCAATGGCAG